AAACATAAAAAAGAAGAAAGGGAGATAAGGATGATAGATGTTTGATGGGAAAGAAGAAGCAAACCACACCAGAGCACCCGCCAACCACCCACTTGTCTTAGTTTGAGCAAGAATTTCATGACACTTGCAACACAATAAGGTCATATAAGTACCGCAGATTATAGGTCTTACTACAGAGTAACAAAAAACAAAGGAAGGAAGAGAGATTAGGATGATAGGCATTTGATAAGAAAGAAGGAGCAAACAATACTAGAACATCCGCCAACCACCCATTGAAAAGACAAACATAGGAAACTAGAACACAATCAAAAGAGAAAACCAAAGCTTTCAAAGCTGGATAGAATTCACATACGAGTTACATGGGTCTTAACCAAACTGCATAAACGAATAATATTTCAACCCCCCCCCCCCCACACACACACACACACAAACACACACACACACCCCCCCACACACACACACACAAACACCTTAGTTGACATGAACAAGGAGAAAAATAAAACAACATGCATCATGTAGACAACCAAAATCTAGAGATGTGGAAACCACTGTAAAACAGAACAGATGAAACATGAAACACATCAAATATTTTTCCAAAACAAGTAATTAAAAAACCCCCAGCAACATTGAAAAAACAAAACAACAACAACAAAAACCACCACAAAGCCATCAAAGAAGGAACAAGTCTTACCTTTTGTAGACAAAGAGAGAGCCTTCAATGTCGGTGACACTCTGTGGACAGACAGCGGGCACCTATTATACTATAGAAGGTGGGGGGGGTTTCCCAGGGGACGTAACTGCGGTATACCAGCTGACACATGATATACACAGAGTCACCTCCCTCTTCTATATATACACGCAAGAGATTGGTGGAAACCATGGCAAGATTAAGTTGTGTTGTAATTATTCTTGAATAGAAAACAGCCAAGAACTATTACACGAGACACTGTTCAAAACGTTCACTTGCCTAAGACAACCACCTTTCTCATTGACCATAGGTAACTTTCTTGGTATAAATAAGTTAAAGTGAAACTCAATGAATATACATTATATATATGCATTCTGTATACTAATTGAATTGTTCAGTACATTCGAGTGTGCAACCCCTCCCTTCCCATCAAAAAAGTCTGATCTTCATAACAAAATTTTAACATTGAAACTCAAAAAGCAACAAAAGTAGAAACAAAAGATCCTTCAAACTATTTTGAAAAGACAGAAAAGCAGTAGTCTCTACCTTAAGAAGTCAGGAAAGTGGGGCGTTGAGATGTTCAGCAAACAGGATTTTCACTCAATCCAACTACCGTATATATGTAATATTCCCCTACAATATAAGCTGGGTACGATTTTCCTCTGGGTATTTACCAACATTCTGAATATTTGGCCACTAGTCAATGGGTTCCCTTCTACTACCAGCATTTAAAGCCATGGAGATCAAACCGAAGAGGAAGAGAGAGGGGTATGAGGCCTCCATCAATTACGGAGATGTCAAAATATATTACACAGAAACTATTGTCAGGGGGTCCTGTTTCAAGAATCTCTATAATAATGAGTCACCCATGTTTTGCCACATTTTCATGTGTACAGCCCAACAAATTTTTACTTTATGGACTGGTTTTTCAAATTAAAACAAGCATTTATAATGTTCAGACATGAAGCTCTTTTCCAAGCAGCAAATAAAAAGTGCTAAGGAGAAACGTCATTTTGTCATTGCTTTTGATTGAATCAAAAGAATTGCTTTCTATAGGAGTGACCCCCCCACCAGATCAAGACACAGTGATGAGTCAGCAATGATCAATCAGTGGAATAGCTTTGGTCCAAGCACAAATTACCTCATCCTGAACCCCAAACATGAACCCCTCCCCTTAACTCTCACATCCCCTCCCACCCTCCTAAAAAAAAAAAAGACAAGGTAAGTTGACATAAAAATATAAATTAAATACTGGTCATAGGTATTAAAAACTGAGATAGATTCAGTTGTGTCAAGTCTGGCACAGACAAAATCATTTTCGAACCTGCCAACCACTCCATGACAAAAAATAGGAGGTTTCCTAAAAAAAAAATTCTCAGAAAATATGAGTTTGGGGAACTCCTGAACCCCAGTAGATCAAAATTATGTAACAAATCCAGAGTGACAAACATACATGGATAGCAAATGTACGCAAATAAAAAATGTGTATTTTTCTTCATCATTTCCGATAAGTTACATGCAACCAATAGAAATGGAATTCAAGAAAAACAAATAATAATCCGGTTTTATGCAAATCCGACCAGGGTTCTTTGAAAGGGGGAAAAAAACCCTGATGACATTACAAAATTACCATGCAAAATAAACATGTGATATAAAATAAGCAAATAAAAATGCATTTTTCCATATCAATTACAATTATTTGTGCAAACATTGCAAATAAACTTCGGTGCTTTCATGTCATGATAAGTTGCTTGAGACAGATGGAAATAGAGATTAAGAAAAAAAAAATGTATGCAAATATCTGCTTCCGGTTCTTCGACGCGCAAAAAAAAATAATCAGGGTGCTCTAGTTTAATTGTTGTAATTGGCAGGTTGGCAAGGGACGAACAAGTGACTGCCACATGTAGTCAGTTGAGGAGAGATTTTGATTTAAATTGTAAAAGTCATGTTATTGAAAAAACCAGGAACTCAACAGATTTTAGGGTATTAAAACTAGGAAGTTAGAAAAATGGGCACTCTTCTTCATGAATAGAGAAGAAAAGCAGATCTACGACATTATAATATACCAAAAAAGCAAGGGGCTAGCACTAGTGGTAAAGTTTTACTTTCAATCCCGCACACAGACGTACTGCTTTGAAGAGTCGAACTGCAGTAATATCAATTCGCAGAAGATCATACATATGACCACTTAAACTGTCGCAAAACAATTATTTTCAAGAAAATTTCAAAGCGAAGAAATTTTACTCTGCGATTAGGCTTAGATCTAGTATGATATAGTTTGAATAGAAACCATCAGATATTTCAAAAACTATGAATGGGCAACAATTATTTATAAAGTCAATATTCATATAAAAATAAATGACAAAAGGGCTTTACAAATCCTGAGCATGAGACGGTAGCCTAGTGAAAATAAAAGAATATCGCACTAGCTCACTAGCAGTAGCCTATCTGTCCTTCTAGAAGAATACATGTACACCCATTAAATTATTCATTCTCAATCCCAGTTGCAACAGGCATGTCATAGGCCCACTGCATTACAAATGACAAGCAGATAGCTAGAGAACGACAACTAAACGCCTCTTGCCGATACTTATAGTAACAGCAATCTTGTTTGACCTCACAAGGGGGAAGCCCGCCGCGTCATCTGATCATGATTCTATAGATTATCTTGGCCTAGATCTAGAGTAGAGAGGATTTTGCGTAGCGCGCGGTTTGCCCAGGCAGTTTCCAAGCTCCTTCCCCCTATAGATCTACATTTGTAGTTCTACTCCATTTGCAGCTCAGCGTTCTATTCAGTCCAATCTCTTGTAAGTGCTTAATTTCTTGTACATACATAACTTTAAAAGAAATGATCTGGATCGAAACGGTTGATCATTTACACTGCGTCGTTGACTTTGTTTGAACTTGCTTTTGTAGCCTATCCAAATTGACGCAGGCCTACTCTTAGTCTTCTTCTCAGTTTACGTAGTGTACAGCAACAGAATCAATCTGTGCGGAAGAAGGGTGCTGCACAGTCACAGACAACAGAACCAAACAGTTCAGCCAGTTGCAAAGAAAGATCTACTAATCCAAGCAGGCTGCCGTCGTGTTGCGTCAAACAAGACGGCTGTTACTACAAATATTGGCCAATGGCGTTTAGTTGTCGTTCTCTAATTATCCGCTTGTTTACAAACGTTCCTTGCCTTACCAAAGAAGATGAAGGAAGCATGAAAATGAAAAACAAATCATAGGAGGGATTCTAGATCTAAATATTCACAAAAACGGGGAAATGCCCTCTTAACAATAGTAGTACTGACAACCCAGTATGCTGTATCAAAATACAAACAGAAAAGAAGGCAGCACACTCAGAGCGTAAGAAAAGTCGGCGCTCTTAGGAAATTGCCTCCCCGTTTCATTGGCAGCCATTTTGAGACTGATAATTTGCCATGTAAACATGAAGGTTGTGTGTTTTTTAAAATTATTATTTTTGCCAGTGCCCTAAGCCCCCCCCACTGTTATGGCTTATGGCTAGTACTAGTGCTCATTAACACACTTGTTGACATGTAAACACAGTGGGTCCGCCAAAGTTCAATTCAGCCAAAATAAATTGTAATTTTTAATACAAAAAAGGCAGAAAAATATTACTGGCTTATGTAGTACGGTTCACTTAACCTACATGGCCACTTTTGTCCTTAGCAATCAGTTCTGTTTGTTATGTAAACAAACGGGAAGGCAATTTCCAAGCCAAAGAGCCGCCCCGAAAAGTCCAGTCCAGTGTGAATCGTGAGAGTAGCAGCCAAAATTCAGAATTGAACACAATATCTAATGTTCTTTTATAAATTAAATACATCTTTAAAACATTTCTCTAATAAAGCCGAAGAAACGGCAACCATCTTGAATAGATCTAGATCTAGATCTAGATGAGCAAGCTCTAATTCCCCATATTGCTTCAGCAGTCTTTTTGTCTAGACTCTAGCAACTGAGAACGAGCAGACGACGGCACAACTTTGACTACTAAGCAAGCAGACCACAACAACACATTAGAAATGAGGTTATAAACTCATATTACATGAAATTTGATTACAAAAATGAATTACCCATTGGTTCATCTGCTGTGAAAACTTATACAGCGCTACTTTTACGGCAATATCGATGATCTCCGTGATATACGGATCGCCTTGTTGCAATGCAGCAAGATTCATACGGCTTTCTTCCGCCATCTTTGCTTCTAAGAATAGTAACGCAGTAAATGTGGAGTAGACTGCGGTCTAGCTATAAAACTTTTGAAATGACAAAGCTTGATATAAAAATCAAACAATGCAAACTGAAAAACATAAAAAATAAATCGAAGACAACTTTGTAAAGGCATCCTCTAAAATGGAAAAATTAAATATTTTTCTGAAAAATTTACTGTAAACATTTCTCTGTTATGACATCACAGTTTGTTTAATTCGACAAAATTTTCATTCAGCTTTGAAGATAAAAAACATAATAGCTTGAAGGTGAAAGGGAAAACATTATCTTTGGTCAGAGGCATTCGTAGGCTCAGCACGACTGTGTTTTGTGTTTCCATAAATTTCATGTAGCTGAAATTTTCTAGGCATTACGAGACGTTTTTATCGATCGTACCCCGCGTTTGGTAAAGTGAAACTTATCGAAGATCGGGTCGGCACTGAGTTGCCCGGATGGAAGTCGGAATTTTTTTTTAGTTTTAGTTTGGATTATTTGACGGTAAAAAAATGGATGCAAACATGAGATAGGATTTACTTCTCGAAGGAACAACCCCTTCTTGAGTTCCTTACTATGGCGAGTTCGCCAACAGGTAGGTTCCCGTAATCAATTTGTGTCTGTGATTGGTCATTCGCTACACATTCCCTCGCCCGTGAGCTTTGCACACATGCACGTACATAGGCGTGAGTGACCGCCAGTGCTCACGATCATGTCTATGAACACTGTGCGAAAATGGCAGCGAACTTGTACAGCATTTCTAGTGGATTATTCGGTGGGGCTCGCTAGGTTCTTTCTGATCTTCTCTATTTGTTTGTGGCCAAGTTCCTATTTGTTTGAGGCCGTGATTTTAGGTTTTGTCCCGAACGTGCGTTATTTTCTACATTTCTAGTGGAAATAGGTCATTGCTCATTGTCATTTGTATTGTGTTTCCAGCTCGCTGCTAGATCTGTGTATGCCTATTGTTATAAACCTTCATTTTCTTGACATTAATAGTTTTGTTTTCTTTTTCGTCACTTTTTTTTTTACTCTTGTAGGTGCGTGTTTTTTGTTTTTTGTTGTTTTTTTTTAAATCTCTTATTTTTGGTTTTTTGTTTGGTTGTTTTTTTGTTTATAATTAATTGAT